CTAATTTTATATTAATGGAACTCAGTCCAATAGCCATTATTTTTTACAGCCAATTAAATGTGTTTAACTCATTAATTTTTTTTCTCTAATAGCCATAACCGTCCAGTCCAAAGGGTTAAGAGAAACCCAAATTCCCAATTCCAATTTGTCTCTCAACATTCGCCGTCTCACTCTGGTCATCGACGCCGCCTTCCAATCCATCATTGTATGTCTCTAAGGACACTTTGAATTTCGAGGTAGTGAGGTTTGTTTGTTTATAAATACATATAATTTCTAAATGAAAGTTGGCCCATTTGTTGGAATTTCTTCATTTTTTGAATTTCTCAAAATTCACCTTCACAGTGCCACGATAGAGGAAGATAGGGAGTACCACAACTACTTTTCCCGGTTTGCAAACAAACATCATCATCCCACATCATTCCTCGTTTCGACAGTGCCACTTTTCCCTGTTTGCACACAGACATCATCCCACATTTGGACAAAGGATGAAATTAAACTCGATATTATTAACTTCAACCGAGCTACAGTGCCCACAAGGATGATCGCATGGTTGACACAACACACACACATGGGGGTCGGGATTATTTTATTCACGGGGGACTTATGCCTCGACTATGAGTGCGCGATTATCCGCACAATAACAGACGCGGGTTGAGTAGCTTAATTCTATTAACTTTTGGCAATGACTTATTTGTTTATATTTTATTTGTTAGTTTGGACTTTTATAATCTTGATTATTGATAATTTGAACTTGTTAAATGTTGGATACTAATATCCTTTTTATTTAAATGTATATTACTAATTTATACAAATTGTGCAAGAGTGAAAACTTAAGTAATAGTACTAGTCTGCTAGAACTAGGCCATGGTTTGGTTCGGTTTGGTTCCACTTCTTCAAACAAATCATTCGATTTCATTATCAGAAAAATTATTGGTTCATAGTTCAGTTTGGTTCTCTTGGAACCAGAACCAAATGGAACCACGTTCACCCCTATGATTTTCTATTCAAAATTGAAGTTCAAACATATATAGTCGTGGCTTCTTTCAAACTCTTGAAATCGTTTCCAAATTGCATAATATTCATTTTCGTAGATCTTTAGCCCACGATCGAATTAAATAGTATTCCTATATAAATGTGTTAGAATTAATGGACCATTCTAAGTAAGATAAAACGATAATGCTAATAGTTGTAACTTAATTAGCACACATTGGACTTGCCTTATCTAAGCTCAAGGCAAGTACAAAAAGAGAATATTCAAAATTTAGAAAAAGAAAACAATTTTTATTTGCACAGGGAACGGGATTTTATGGAAAGGGAGACATGGCCCCACTATTGATTCTAAGATAAAAATAATTAAGGTTTATGTGGGACCATTTTAACTTTATAAATGTATCAAATATTCCATTTGTACCTGGCAAGAAATATTTTGATTTTTTTTTCCCTGCTTAATCAATCTTTATTGAGTCAACAATCAAGGCTCAAATGTTTGACCATCTTTTGTTTACCAACTTGGCATATTTGGGCATAAATTGCTTTACTCGAGGGGTTTTCTTTACTTCAAATATAATTGCTCGTTGGAAATCAATCTCCTATTTCTAATAAAAATTAAATTTAGTCACTACTAAAAGGAAGAAAAAAAAAGTTCTCATCGTTTATGAAATCTTAGCCGACTCAAAAAAAAAAAATATCGATTATTAACAGAAAATTACTATTGTCATAGTAAGTTGGATAAAAGGCCATGTTGGAAATGGCGTATATACACTTCCCCAATTCAAGAATCCATAAAAAAGCATCATTTTAGAGCTTTATCAAATTTCACAATATTTCCCATCTTTGAATATATTCTCTCTAATTTCCTTAGATTAATTTTGTGGGATATAAGAAATAAATCTCCTAGATACAAATCTCCACCACTATCTGCCTCGATTTTTGAGTCACTCACCAGTATATAAACCAAGCTCATGACATTACTAAAAAATCACAAGTTCTCGTCTACACAATATATTCTCCTTCTACTGCATTTCAAACAGATCAAAACCCAATAAAATTTCCCTGCTTTCTTAAGGTGAGGATTTATATATTCTAATATGTAGTTTTTTCTAGCCACGCAACTCGTTTCTCAATCCGCCATAGTAAGAAGTGGTCGTGTTTCTTATGCAATACTATAAAGCATAGTGCTTGTTAAAGAAAATATTATTATAGTTACTCAAATAGATATTTGTAATTTGTTCACTCGATTAAATGCACAAATAATAAGGTAAGTACAATTCAATTCTCCACCCCAAATATCACGATGTAACAGGCATTATAAATTGGTGTATTTGGAAGCAGGGAAAAATGAACAGGCCAGGAGATTGGAACTGCAGGTCATGCCAGCATCTGAATTTCCAGAGGAGGGACTCCTGTCAGCGATGCGGAGACCCTAGGCCCGGCGAAAGAGGTGATTATGGAAATTTTGGCGGCGGACGAGGCGCTATGTCCTTCGGCTTCACCGGGCCAGACGTAAGGCCTGGTGACTGGTACTGCACCGTTAGCAACTGCGGCGCCCACAACTTTGCCAGCCGCTCCAGCTGCTTCAAGTGTGGGGCGCACAAGGATGATTGCTCAGGCGGCAGCGGCGGTGGAGGATTTGATAGTGAAATGTCTCGAGCTCGAGGGTTCGGATTAGGGGGCAGCAGCCGCTCCGGATGGAAATCCGGTGACTGGATTTGTGGCAGGTATAAATTCCGGACAATCGAAGGACGATGTAAATTGATTTTAATGTTAAATCTTGTTTGTTTTAGTGTCCATTGACATGGTCGAGTTCTTGCATTGTTTCATAAGACAATTTAACAATTCTTTTTCAATTTTGTTGTGCAAATAATGGAACCGAACAGGTCAGGGTGCAATGAACATAACTTCGCAAGCAGGATGGAATGCTTCAAATGCAATGCACCAAGGGAATCCGGCAGCAAGTTTTCCTACTAAAAGCGTGCATTGAGATTCTCTATTTTTGGGTAAAGTCGTGTCTCCACTACAAGCTTTTCCATGCATTTGTTGATAAAATACAAGAGTTCATAACTGTTAGTGGATTCAAATTTCAGGTTCGAAGTTGATTAACAGAGAATCAAGAGCGGAAGAATTTTAATTTTGTTGGCACTCCCAATTTCCTGTATTTGGATTTTTTATATTTAATTTAGGAAGTTTAGGTCAATTATGATTGCAAGTAGAGCTTAGTCCTTTGTTTTGTGAGCTTAATTAGTAGCTAGTATGAGATATATCCTTGTATTTCTTTTTGTTTTAATCTATTTAATATCAATGTCTTTCGAAAAAAAAAAATTAGTGTCGTTTAATGATATAGCCGTCACAAAATTTTACACGCTCGTTATTCTAAAATTATTGTTTTGTGATGGTATATATGTACGTCTTTCTTTACAATTGTATACGATAAGCTAAGATAAAATCCTTATCCCATATCTATAGGTTAACTTTCCTTATTTTTTTATCTCATTTATATAATCTCGTTTCTTTATTGAGAATGTATTTATTTTGTTCATTTAGTAATATGCTCTTATTTAATTTGCATTGTTATAATCAAATTTTTCCTCTTAATCTTGAAATTTGTACAAATTTTTATTTACATATATCTTGAAATCATCCAAATACATACATACATACATTTCCCACTTCTTAGAAACGTGGACAACAAAAAATTAATCATCACTATTTACCACTAGTTTTTGATAATTAAATAAAGGTAAATTAGGAATATTCTTCACAAAAATTACTTTTTCAATGATATTAGTGCATTTGATTATTAATATTTTTCATAAGAAATGTAACTTTTCACCTAAATTTATACTTTTGCGCTGTTTGATTAATTTTTTCACAAAAATATATTCCTACTTTTATTCACGTGATCATATTTTCCTTGAAAACAAAGAAAATATTTTCTTTGTCAAGAATATGTTTTTATTTTCCAAATAACTCTCTCTCTCTCTCTCTCTCTCTCTCTCTCTCTCTCTCTCTCTCTCT